GCCCCTGGTTTCTGACCACAGGATTACCTCACTCGCGAGATTCCAGAGCGCAGGACCCTGCCCATGCCCCCGGGGAGACCCCTTTGACACCCCCATGCTAGGGTTGCCTCCCCAGAAGGAAAGAAATGCGTCCAGTGTGCGCCTCTAGCTGTTGTTTTGCCCTTGCTTGGAGCCCGCAGGGAGATACCGCCAACCCCCCAGAGGTGGCCAGGAATTCTCTGGGGGATGCGGGGCCTGAGCAAATATTTTTTGCAGGGCCACTATCTATACAATTTGAATCACCCGAAGTCAGCGTCTCGGCGCTATTTCGGTGGCCCTATCTCGCAGGATGTCTTGAAAGAAATACCGCGTCAAGCTTCAGGAGTGGAGGCCACCACTGGCCGGGACGACTTCATAGAAGCAAGTCTGGAGCCTCAGGCATCTCTGGGTAGATGCCCCCGCGTGCTCTGGGTAGAGAGCCCCCCTCAGAAAGGGAGTAACCCGGCCAGGGCCCACGAAGGTCCTGGTCCTGCCTTGGAGCGCCCCACCTAGACTGCCTGGACAGCACTGCCAGGTCTCAGGCACCAGAGGGACTTAGACAAACTCAAGGTAGGCGCTCCAAAGCCCACGCTCCCTGAAGCGTGGGGCGGAGTTAGGGGCAGAGTGACGGTGCAGCAGACCAAATGGATGGAGAAGCAGATCTGAACAGGTACTGTGGGCTGTTCTGCTCCAGCTAAAGCCCAATCTGGCCATTACCTGTCTCTGGCCCCTACCCTCATCCAAGTTGCACAGAGAGGTGTGAGAGAGAATGTGATATTGGGGCTAAGACAGTTCAGCCTCTTGAGACTCCTGCCCCCTCCAAGTCCCACCCCACACAGCAGCCAAATCCTGTCAAGTTCCTCCTGGCTTAAGTCCCTAGTGCACTCACCTGCAAGGCCCTTCATGACAAGGCTCTCCACTCATACCTTTCCCACCTCATCTCCCCATGCTCACCCCCTGGCTCATATTCCTCCAGCCACACAGACATTCTAGCTGTTCCTCCAATGCACCAGCCCCATCCAAGCTCAGGGCCTTTGCACTGGCTCACCAAGTTTGCATCCTCATCATTCAGATTGCCTTTCAATATCACCTGTTTTCAAAGGCCTTCCCTGACCGTTCTGATGAAAGTATTCTCCACCCTCTGCACACAGTCTATCCTCTCATATTGTTTTATTATATTGTCTTCAAGGCACTCAGCACTATGAGACTATCTCGTTTTATTTGTTGTGTGTTCACTGTTGGGTGCCTCCTCCACCACGACAGGAGGTAAGCAACCCACTAGAAGAGCCTTTTGCACCCCGATATTCGCAACTGCACCTCAAAGTCTAGAAAAGTGCCTGTTCTCTAGTCGGCACTCAAAAAGCATGTGTATAATATATTCAAGGTTAGAGGAGAACAAGCAAGGCTGGAGGGAAGTTGACTCTTCCCAACAGCACCAGATTTTATGGGAGAGGAGATGGCAGGCCATGAACTGGGAGACCTGCGTCCTAACGGGACTGGCAGGATAAGGTACGTTGGCCACCTCCCACCAATCCCTTAGGGCTCAGATTTGCAGGACATTCATACCTTTTGTGACACATGTGGCCCCCTTCATCCTTCTTCTCATCTTTTTGTACCCCTTGCTCTCTGTCCTATTGCAACATTTAGGATCCCTTGGCACCCCTCTATGTCCCCTGAACCCCTCAGCACCTTCTCATGACCCTTTATAACTTCATCCCCTCACAGCCCTCTATGCTCCCAGCCTGGTACTGCCTTTGGCCCTTGCCCCTAGGAACCTGGGGCAGCAAAGCCACGAAGCTCAGAAGCAGGTTCTGGAGGTAGCAGCTCCCAGGGTACAGCAGCAGGTTTGCACCCAGGTACTTACACAGCCAGATCTCTAGCCCCAGGAGCCAGGTGGAGGATCTTTTGTGGCCTCACAAGGGTGAGGATATGTTGCAAAACAGAACTGAGCCACACTGAGGGGGGACACCTGCCCAAAAGGGATTTTGGTTTAAGGAATGGGCTAGGAATCTCCTGCTGGCTCACTGGTGAGGTCGGGTGGCTGGAGATTGAGAGGACAGATGACTTTGGTGCCACACTGGCATAATTTCACATCTGGCTTCTACTATTTATTTTGTTTGGGTATCCTTGGATACTAATTTCACCTCTTTGAGCCTCAGTTTCATCTGTAAGATGGGAACGATATATTCTTCCCAGAGTTGCTGTGGTTCCAGGGGTTCTCTGAAATTAACCAAATGAATTAAAGGTGGAGAAAACAGCTTGTCCCCACATACATGTATGGAATAAAACAATATCGAGAAAAGAAAGAACACTCTGTCTGGCTGCACAAGTAGAGAAGTAGTGGAATCTGTCTGCTGCCCGTGCCTCCTAATCTCCTGTCCCTGGTGCTGAAGCAGAACTCACTGCCCACTAGGTGCTCTTCCTATGATGCAGGTGAGTATTGATGGGGACTCCCGTGGCATCTAGATGGCATCTCCCCACATGCCCATTCTCTCCTCACTCCCCACCCCCGCTGCTCTCTCTCTTTTGTACATCAATATCTTTGAGAGCCTTGCTCTTCAAAGCGCAGCCTTGTACCAACAGCAGCAGCATGCCCTGGAGCTTGTTGGAAATGCAGAATCCCTGCCCCAGACCTATTGAATCAGAATCTGCATTTTGATAAGATTTCCAGAGGATTCAACCCCAGGAGAGTCATATGCACATTTAAGATTGAGAAGCACTAGTTGGAAGTTTAAAGTACCTCCACTTAAAATTCATGAAATTCACAACTTTCTCAGTTTGATGGTATTTGATGCTGTCACTGGAAATGTTATCTCAAGCTACAAGAGTACATCCACATAACATTAGGAAATTGGTATTTCATTCATTGTGAGAGGTTATATCCCCGATCTCCACAATATGACCCTATATTAATTCGCTTTTTTTTAACTAAATCATTTTCCTTAATATAGTTTTAGGGGTAAATCACATTTAGGCTTGTAAAAGACTTTTGTATGCTTCTCCATTCCCGTCAATCATTTTAAATTCTTTTTGTTATTTTTCCTTGTATTTACCTCTAAGTTTCTATTGCTATTTCTCGATTTTTCTATGTTTAGATGTTATCTGTCGATTTCCTGATATGAATTAAGGACTTAGCTTTGCTTCCACCCTCCCACCCATACACACCCAAAGACACAAACATACACTTTCACTCCTTTCATTTTCCCCTAATTGCTAAATCACTGGAGCCAATATTCAGTGCTTATATGATGACCATGTAAATATTATTGTTTAACTTTTTGTGTTCCCTGGAGTTAATAATTGTTTTATCATTTGCTTGGTTTCAAGGCACCAATTGCTAATTCAATCCCAAAATTTCCAACAGAACTGGACATTTATTTTGAATGTGTCTAAAAGCAGCAGATAATCAATTTCATTTTTTTTCTGGAGACATGCCTTCTGGAGCGTCTGTCTATCTTTTGATTTCAGGCTGAGTTCCTTGCTTTCTTCACCTGGGAGCACAGCTGACATCCCAGGCCTTTCTCATCATACATCTCTAGTATTTAGCTTCTTTCATCTTTCATATTGTCCTCTTTCCTTGTTTTTCCGAAGCGCATCCTCCAGTAGCTTTCTAAGAAAAAGTGTACACAAGGTACAATTTTTGAGACCTCGTATGGCTTAAAATGTCTTTATTCTGCCATCACACTTGATAATCATTTGGACAAATATGTTTCTAGGCTGGAAATCATTTTCCCTTAGAATTTTGTGGGCATTGCTTTACTGCTCTGAGCAAAAGCAATCAATGAATGGTCCCAAGGGCTGGTGGCACTGGCTCCACGGGCTGTTGAGCTCATCACCACCAAAAATGTCAGGTCACTAAGCTTTAGTCTTTGGACAAGGCCCACTGGAGGCAGACATATAGTCTGATTCTTGCTCTGTCTCCTCCTCTCCTGGGGGCCGTATGACCACTGTCTTCCATTCCTCACCCCCATCAGTTTTCCTTCAAAGTGTGATTTGTGGATAAGGATCAAGTTCTCCCATTTATGATGCATTTCCATTCTTGCCTCTCAAGTCATTAAACTGAGATATGCTAGAACTTCCAGAACCATCACCTAGTTACAAATTATCAGTGGGGGTAAGTTTCTTTCCAAGGTGATCAATCTCTTCATTACATGTTCATTTTCCTTAATTTCATTCTCAGAGGGTAACCTTAACCTCCAGTTTGGAGGTTACTATGTTGTAGCCCTCCTATGTTCACACCCTCTTTGCATTTCTAAAATCCTCAGTATCCAAAATACCTCCCACAAACCATAGTAGTACTTAGAATGCCTAAACAGCCCCCTCCTGCCCCATTCCCAAGTAGCAGGTCACGTGGGAGCCCAGACCCAGAAAGCCTCGGGTTGTTTCCTGGCAGAGTCTATCTCTGCATTCCAGGGCTGCAGTCCTGAAAAATCCCTCTAGGGACCCACAGGCATCGCCCTACTCTCAGGAGAGAGAGCATTGGATGGGAAGATTGAATGACTTGTCCCTGGACTTACAGCTCTGGGAACCTGCAGGTTTGAGAGCAGTCCTTCCTCCCTTGGTCAGCTGCCCATGTAGTGATAGGGTTAGAATGCTGCCTTATCAACTCAGATCCCCATGGGAGAGCCCTGGGGCAGAGAATTAGCAGAGGCAAGAGGCTGAGTCTTAGTTCTCCGAAATCACTGACCTCCTCTGGCTAAGCCCCACCTGGGCCACCAGCTGCTTGTGACGCCAGAACCAGCAGCAGCCACTCCCTAAACCAGGGCTCCACCTGGCAAGAGGTCACAATGCCCCAGCTGCTCAGTACCAGAATGGCTGACCAAAATGGGAGGAGGTGAGGGGGTTTTGGTGAGTGGGTGTGTGGGGAAGGGGAGATTCCCCAAGACCCCAATTCCCCACTCCCCAAGCTCACCCTTGAGTGTTTTCCACCCCCTCCCATACTCCTCCCACACAGCCCCCTTTTGTAACCTCCACTTCTCTTCATGCCCCAGGTCTGCTTACCCAGGCCCCACACCCTTGCTTATCCTATCCCTTTCCCTCTCAGGGGCCTGGGTGCTGGGGAGGGATCAGGTAGTCCAGTAGGTACATATGTATCCTCCTGGGGCCCTAGCCCAGCCCAGCTCCTGGACAGTGTCCTAGGACTGGGGGCACTGGGGTTGACAATTCGGGCAGTCTTTTCCATGGCTGGCCTAGCCTTCCTGCTGCTGCTGCTATTGGTCAGCTTCCTGGCCTTTGACCTGCTCCACAGGTAAGTGGGCAGCAGCCTGGCAGGTGGGCAGGTACGGGTCAGTGAGCCACTGGTCAACCTCCCAGAGCCTAGCTCCTACCCTCTCTCTCCACAGACCTGCAAGTCCCACCCGGCCACAGCACACACTTCTCACAGGGGGCCAGAGTCAGGGGGCCGGTGAGGGTCCAAGACAGCAGGCGGCTCTACTCTTGCCGATGGTGGCAGCCACAGGACAACTGCGCCTCCAGGAAGCTCTGCTACTGCTGCTTCTGGGCCTAGGGCTGCTCCTGGGGGCGCGAGGCATGCCCTTGGCCCTGCTCGGCCTGGCTTTCTGCCTCCATCCTTGGGCCTGACTGCCTTCCAGAAATACACTGGCCATGCTGCTTCCTTAGGCCTCCTTTCCTCCATCCTGGGCTGGGCAGGCGGGAGGGTACGCTATTGTCCCCAGCCTGAACCTCAGGAGACCTCCAGCCCCACAATAGGAACAGTGGATACCTAGGTCTGATACTAAAAGTGGCAAGATAAGGGACAGGAAGCCCAGGATTGGAACCCAGGGAGCCTGTCTCAGAACCTGCAGGTTGAGGCTGGGCATTCTGGCCTCCTCTGTGGTTCTAAAGAATGAAGGTCCAGAGAGAAAGACTTGCAAGAGAGCAGAGAGGGACTGGTTATCAGCCATCAGGGAAGGAACAGAGATCCAAGAGGGCTTCCCACAAGAAAGCATGAGAAATTACATCTATGGACTACCCAGGCTCCCCTGCCAGCCTGAAAGGTCCACAGAGAGAGGGTCTCAGATGAGGCTCACACCCTACAGTGGCTCCTTTCTTGGCTGTACCCCACCCGAGTTCGGGTCACAATGGGGCTCTTCTGGGGAGGGTGGGGGTGAGTGAAAGAGAGTCCTTGACTCTGGGTGCTAGGCCGTCCTGGGCGCTGCAAGAAACAACATGACTTAGGTAAGACCCAGGCCCCAGCTCGAAGCCCCACCCCACCCATGCTGGTACCCACCTGACCCCTGCACTTCCACCTGCCCTGAGGTCCCAGGCATATCCAGGGCTGCTTCTGCAGCTGGCCTGGCCCTCTCCCTAGGTGCACCAGCCATGATGCAGCAGCTGAGAATGGAGACCGATGCCATTGGGGCCGGCGAGGGGCCACAGCCGGCGGTGCCCTGGTCGACCTGGGTCACACGGCAGGGTTGGGTGCGCTGGTGCATGTACTATGTGCCCCAGAACTGGACCCAGTGGTGGATCACATCAAGCTGGAGGCAACCTCTGCAGCGTGTGCTGTGGAGCCTGGAGGGGATCCTCTACCTGCTGCTGGCGCTGATGCTGTGCCATGCACTCTTCACCACTGGCTCCTACCTCCTGAGCTCCCTTTGGCCTGTTGTGGCCGCTGCGTGGCGACATCTGCTGCCTGCTGTCCTGCTGCTGGTACTCAGTGCCCTCCCAGCCCTGCTCTTCACCGCCTCCTTCCTGCTGCTGCTTTCCACACTGCTGAGCCTCGTGGGCCTCCTCACCTCCATGTCTCATCCAGGCCATGCTCAGGACTTGGACTAATAGAAGGGAAACCCCATCCTGCTGCCTGTGTCTGTTGAGCCCTGGCCTAGGGCCTGAGGCTCAGGGGAGAGGGAGGGCAATGGGACCAGGGCCTTCCTGCTTCAGCAGGCCCCCAACCCCCAGTCGCTAGCAATGGTTGTGACATGGGTGACGCTGATGGAGCTGAAGGCTAAATTGACCTGATCTCTGGGTACCTCCCTCAAGATGATGCTGCAGGTACTTGGTATGGGAGAACAGGGGCTTTGAGGAGATGGGATAGGGCGGAAGGCTTAGCTAGGGGAAGAGCTTGGCTAAGCCATCAAGAACTCCCATGTGGGTGTGGTGACACCACTGGGACCCCTTTAGCAACCAGCAGCATCTTTTTTTTTGCAGCTGTCTTAGCTTCAGATTCATTGAGAACATCTTTCTGGGTTCCCGTGGACTTGTCATTCCTCTTACCAACCCCCTCTTTCCACTTGCCCAAGCTCTAGAAAGGGCCCACTGACAGACACCTAACTGCAAGAGGGCTGGCCACAAGCCCCATGAGACCTCGACTAACTCACCATCCAGATCTTTCTGCCCAGGAAGTCCCCCACGCCCTAGACATCCTAGCTCCTGCTTCGGCCCACATCCTCAAGTCTGGGAAATGGGCCAAACAGGGCAGTGAGGTTCCCAGAGAGTACCAATTCTTTAAGTCTCCTGCGGTCTGTTCTGGAAAAACAAACAAGAAGTGCCATTTCACCCACCTACACAATGTGGCCAATTAATTCTTTTCAGCCTGTGCTAAGTGGGTCCCAACTCCCTTGTGGAGTTGAGTCAGAGGCAATACCTATGTGTGAAGTACTTCGCAAAGACCAGAAAACTGTAAGATATTGTACTGGCTCTAAGAACATTCTCTAGGCTCAAAGGTCTTTCGACCCTGAAGGCCATAGGAAGAGCTGAAAGTTCGCTAGGCCTTTAGAGAAATGCTCTGTCATGGATGTAATTACAATGGTAAACAGAGGATAGATGGTGTGGACAAGATGTAAAAGGTTGTGTGCCATGATATCGCCAAATATGCAGATGTCAAACTCTCCTGATTGTGAAATGCCTAGGTCTGGGCCCTGTGCCAGGAGATGCTTGCACAGCTGTGTCAATGGGAAAAGCATAGCCCGTGGTTTCCAAAATGGACCCAGCAAATTGCTCACAGTACCAGGAGGGCCTTGGAAAGTGGCGTCTCCAATGTCCAGGGCACTGGCTGTTCACATATCTGCTAACCCTCCAAACAAAACGGTGAATGATCAGCTATTAGACACATGATAGGCACCTTTACCCATGGCTAAGACCCAGCCACCTGACTCCTACTCCACTCGACCTCCACCCAATTCCTAACCCCAACTTCAGCTGAGTCCTGACCCCATCGTACATCTAACCCTAAAAGTCCTGCTCCTAAAGCCCTAGACCCAAAGTACCCCTCTCCAGCCACGTAAATACTCAAGCCCTGAGGACCAGACCTTAGAACTCGGGTTCATTTTTGCCAAAACCTATTTGCTATGGAATTTCATAACCCTGCATGCCACTGGTTAGATGCCTTCAGCATCAGTGCCTGAAACCCCAGGCACAGTCCTTTCTTCCCATTTCCTTGTGATTCTCCCTGAAATATGGCCTGATAGTTAAGGGCGAGGCCGGACTTGGAGGTGGTAATAGCCTCATAGTTAGCATAGGTTCTGGTGTATTAGCTGAAGCTGGGTTCGAATCCCAGCATTGTCACTTTCTAGCTCCACAGCCTTGGAAATTGCTAAGTCTTCCTGAACTTCATTTTCCTCATGGGTAAAACACAGGCAAGAACAATTGTCTTAGGGCTCCTGTGGGACTCCTGGCATGTGAATGATGTTTCTGGACTGATTCTTCACTCCCGAAACTATACCTATGTGGTTACTATTCCATTTTAGAGATGAGAAGTCAGATTCAGCTAGTCACTTGCCAGTGGCAAGGCCAGGCTATTTGAGTCCTGTTCCATCGAACAGGCTACTAAAGAAAAAGCAATGGAGACAATACAAACTAACTGAAGACCCCATGCCTGTTCTTAAAGCTCGTGTCAGAGATAAAGCCTGGATGTAAATCCGGGGTCCATGATTAACTTTGCTGTGCATTGCTGGCCAGCAGCATTACTCCGGAGCCTTGAGGCCATTCCAATTAAGGGAGAGAGGAGATTTTGACCCAGATCAGACACACTGGGGGACAAGATGTGGGTAGGAGCAAGAAGGCCTTCTTCCTTTCCCCACATAAATATATACCTTCCACTCTCCTACTCTGCTGTTGTGGGGTAAGGTGGTACAGCCAGACTGGAGAGCGGATGGGCAATATTTATCAAATTAGATCAATACATACCCCATTGACCTAACAACCTAATATGAATTCTCACTTTAGGCCCATAATGGCTTTGCACCTCAAAGTGTGGTCCCAGGACCAGCGGTCTAGGCCTCACCTGGGAGCTGGTTAGAAATGCAGAGTTTCAGGCCTCATCTCAGGCCTGTGGAATCAAAACCTGCATTTTAACAAGATCTTAGGTGATAAACATGCACCCTGCATGAGAAAAGCTGCATAAGAGGGGACATATTTGAGAGTGAAGATTGCACTGTTATTGGGGGTGGCAGGAGGCGAAATGTGGTAGATGAGCACTGTGGAGAGGTCGCAGCTGTTAGGAGGAGTGGGAACTATATGGATTGATCAGAAATCCTAGCATTGAGTGAAAAAAAAAACTGAATGAGAAATCATATAGTTCTTTTTACACAAATTTAAAATGCATGTCAGCAAAACAAGACACTTAGGGAGGAGGCAAGAACACATAGAAACAAAAGATAAACAGAATGGAATGTCCAACCCTAGGGATAGGCAAACGGGAATCGAGTATATACATAAAAGGGAATAAAGTGAGGGACCTTGCAGAGAAGAAAGAAAAATATGAACATAAGTCCTGAAATTCCTTTAAATGTAGACAAAGTAACCCATTTAGAGTTAAAAAGTTTTTAAAATGCAAGCCCAGGGAGATTGAACATGCTGGAATAAAGGCGTTCTAAGCCTTTCAGGTTTGGGCCAAGAAGAGAGAGAGCTGTTCCTTTGGCCTAAGTGACCTGGGCAGCTGACTCGCTTTGTCTATCCTCCCCATTGCCGCGGCAGCATGCTGTGATGGGATGGAGGTGGGGGCAGGGATCTGGTGACTGGTGTGGCCTGGCCAGAAAAATAATCATATAGGGCAGGGAATAAGGAACAGAGTGAGGAGGAGTCGGTGAGGGGCCTTGCATCTAAGAAAGCAGAGAAGGAATCCACAGTAGCATATACAGATCCAGGGAGGCCGCAGGAGCAGGAGCACCTGCTTTCCTCTGCCCCCAAGGCACAGAAAGCAATGAGTAGGATCCACCAGGACGGGAGAGGGCCAAGGGCAGCGTCGAGGGCATTCATAAGGATGGGGCATCACTTGAGACAGAGTTGTTCAGTGGCCAGCCTTGGGGGGTGGGAGTGGAGTGGGGGGACAGGTGTCCATCGAAGAAAAAGGCGTGCTGTCAGACTCTTATGTGCAGAGGAAAGGGGGTGGCCATGTCCCGGCTTGGTGGGGTGAAGGGAGCCGCTCTCCTCATTCAACAGTCTGGCCACAGAGGAGAAGGGGGAGATCGGATCCTGTGGGGAGAAAGAGGAGGCGTGCGTTGCGCGGGAGGTCGCCCCAGGAACAGGTGAGGGGTGCAAGGCGCTGCGCAATCCTGTAGGCTCAGGTGCCAGGCAGAACCGCCAGGGGTACGGCTGGAGGAAGTTGAGGAGAGCGCGTTGACTGTAGGGGCAGAGCGGGACGAGCAAGAGCCTGAAATTGGGAAGGAAATCCCAAGCCTAGCCGGAGATTGAAGGGCTGCGGGCACCCACAGAGCCAAGGTGCTAGCCATCCTGGAAAAAACGACGGCCCCGGAATCGCACCTTGCAGACCCGGCGACCGACGGTGCAAGGCGCGCCCCCTGGCGGAGATTCCAGCTCTGGCAACGAAGAGTCGGGCTTGGCTGAGGTGTAGGACGTGGAGAAAGGGGAAAGAGGTATCGCATAGGCCTGGACTCTGGCACTAGGGGTAAGGGTGGATCCTGGGGCCATAAAATGGGAATTCATGGTCCACTGTCATTACAGTAGCGGCTTCGTTGACTCCTTGCCCCTTACCCCAAATCTCCAGCCTGGGTCCCCTAGCCAGAAACCCAGAGGGCAGAGCTCCTGAGACTCCTGGAGAAGGGAGGGTCCGATCTAGCCGGCTTCACTGTATCTCGGACTCCTGGCCCAGCCCTAGTCCATTATCCCATTTTTCCTCCGGTAAAGAGCTGTCTCCTGAGGTTCTGTTAGGGTCTGGATGCAACCGACTTTGTACAATTTGGTTTTTTTTGTTGTTATTTTTGTTTTCTGTTGAGCAAATGTCTCCATCTATATTTTGAATCTTGCTTCCTTTATACTATCTTTCAAATATTTTCCATCGTAAAAATAAAAGAACTTGATTTAAGATCTATGGCTTCTACCATATTTTCTGGACTGTGTCTTCAATGTCTAATCAAAAAAAACACATATTTTCAAATTGAAATGTGAAACTGCACACATGCAAAATATTTGCAACATATATGAAAGTTGTGACACCCTCTAAACCAAAAGATACCAAATGGAGCTAAAAGCCAGATGTTCTCAGGATAGGGCCTCTTCGCATTCATCTTCTGCCAGTGCAACTGTTTATGGAATTGCTGTTCATAGACACCTCTGGCTTGATTCTGATTTTTTTTTTTTTTTAAACCTGCTTCTGAGGCTGCACAATTAGGAAGTATGTAGATTACTGTAGAGTTTTGGTAGTTAACCTTTATCCAGTTAAGGAAATTCTTTTCCATGCCTAGTTTGCTAACAGTTTTGATCATGAATGGATGTTGAATAATAAAAATTTTTTTTCTGTATCTACTACAAGCACTATTTGGTTATTCTGCTTTATTCTGTTTATATAGTGAATTACATTTTTAAGTGTCTTTTACTATTAAGCCATTCCTGGAAAAACCCATCCTGGTTCCCTTTTAACTGACATATAATTCCCACACAGATTTTACATACAAGTAAAATACTCAAATCTTGAGGGTACAGCTCAATGAATTTTTACATATTTGTGTGTGCATATGCAACTACCACCCAGATCAACTTTTCCATTGTCCCAGAAAGTCCCATCATGCCATTTCCCAATCAATACCTTCCCCAATAGGTAACCACTATTCTGACTTTTATCACCATAGATTAGCCTATTCTTGACATTGTACAGAACAAAATCTTACAAAATGTACTCTAGTGTCTAGCTTCTTTCAATGTTACATCTGTGAGATTTACCCATGTTGTTGCATCTATCAGTAGTTTTTTTCTCCTTTATAGTGTATACTATCCCTTTGTATGGGAAGACAACAATTTGTCCACTCTCTTATTGATAAACATTTGGTTTGTTTCCAAGCTTTAGCTACTATGAATAAAACCTTAATGAACATTCTTGTACAACTCTTTTGGTAGACAGATGCACTAATTTCTCTTGAATTGCTGGATCACAGAGTATGTAAACATTCAGTGTTAGTAAATACTGCCCCATAATTTCCAAAGTGATTGTACCAAGCAGAGATTATACTGCTTTTTTTTAAGCCTATCTACCTAATTCATTGTTTGGAATTTCTGCTCTCTCCTGGTTATCACGTATGATATTTACATTTGTTTCTCATTTTCACTTTTGCTTGGGTCACTTCTGAGAAGAAGAAATACCACCTTTACTCTATCATCTTCAAACTGCACAACCTCTGTCCTTTCTAAAGCCAAGAACGCACGGTTTGTTTAAGATTCAAAGAAAACATGTAATTCACCATATTATTAAACTAAAAAATTTTTAAAACATCTGAACATTTTGATAGATGCAGAAAAGGCAATTTGACAAAATCCGACATTAGTTCCTACTTTAAAAAAAAATCTCTCAGCAAACTAGGAATAGAAGGAAACCCTCAATTTTATAGAGGGCATCTATGAAAAACCTACAGCTAATGTCATACTTAATGGTGAAAAAACTGAATAATTTTCCCCTAAAATCAGGAACAAGTATGTCTGTTCTCACCGATTCTATTCAAAATGGTACTGAACATCCTAACTAGTGCAATAAGACTACAAACATAAATAAAAAACATACAGATTGGAAAGCAAAAAGTAAAACCATCTTTATTCACAGACAACAGAATTGTCTGTAGGGAATCCAACAGAATCTATAAAAAACTACTAGAACTAATAAATGAACTTAGCAAAGTAACTAATGTGTGTACTTGGTCATGGTTATGATACAAGGTCAATATACAAAAATCAATTGTATTTCTCTGTACTAGCAATGAATGATCAGAAAAAGAAATTTAAAAACAATACAATTTATAATAAAAATATGAGTACTTATGGGTAAATCTGACAAAAGATATGAAAGATCTGTATGCTGAAAACCACAAAATATTGCTGAGGGAAATTAAAGAAGACCTAAACAAATAGAGAGATATATCTTGCTCATGGGTTGGATTACTCAGTGTTGTTAAGATGTCAATTTTCCCCATCAATACAATCACAATCAAAATCCCAGAATTTTTGTAGAAATTAACAAGCTGATTTTAAAGGTCTTATGGACATGAAAAGGGCTTAGAATAGCCCAAATAACTGAAGAATAAAGAAGAATAAAGTTGGAAGACTAACATTACCTGATTTCAAGACTTATCATAAAGCTATAGTAATCAAGGAAGTATGGTACTGGCATAAAAAATAGACAAATAGATCAATGGAACACAGTAGAGGGTCCAGAAATAGATCAATACATATATGCACAATGGATTTTCAACAAAGGTACAAAGGCAGTTGAGTGGAGAAAGGATAATCTTCAATTAATAGTGCTGGAATCACTGGATATTCACACACAAAAAAAGAATTTCAATTCATATCTTACACCATATATAAAAATTAATTCAAAATGGATCATAGACCTAAGTATAAAACCTGAAAACTATGAACCTTCTAGAATAAAACATAGAGAAAAACAGTTGTGACCTTGAGTTAAGCAGAGATTTCTTAAGACATGATACCAAAAGCATAATCCATAAAATTGTGTAACAAACTGCCCTTGATCAAATTAAATTTTTCTATTCTTCAAAAGACACTGTTAAGAAAAAGACAAGCCACAGACAGAAAGTACTTGCAAACCACACGTCTGATAAGAGACTTGGATCCACAATATGAAACTCGTGAAGTCCAATAAGTTTTAAAAAGGAATGAGGGGATAAGAGAAACAATTTGAACAGAAAACTTTACCAAAGAAGATTGCACATAGGCACAGGAAAAGATGTTCAACATCATTTGTCATTATGGAAATGTAAATTAAAACTATATTACACACCTATTAGAATGGCTAATATTAAGAAGACAAAAAAAAAAAAATACTGACCAACACCAAGTGTGGACAAGGAACTGCAACACTCATACACTGCTGGTGGGAATTTAAAATGAGACAACCACTCTGGAAAATCATCTGGCAGTTTCTTAAAAAGTTAAACATACATCTACCATGTGATCCAGCCACTTCATTCCTAGGTATTTACCCAAGAGAAGTAAAAATACATGTCCATGCAAAGATTTGTACATAATTTCTCATAGAAGCTTTATTTATATAGTCAAAAACTGAAAACAAGTTAACTGTCCATCAACAGATGAATGGATAAATAAATGTTAGTATAGCCATGAAATAGACTACTACTCAGGTACAAAAAGGAATGAACTACTGATCCACACAATGCTATGGATGAATTTCCATATTGCTCCATTAATCCCATTACTTAGACTGAGTGAAAGAAGCCAAGTGATTCAATAAAAAAGTTCTAGGAAATGCATATTGATCTACAATAACAGAAAGCAGATTGGTATCAAGAGTTGTTTGGGGATGGGAGTGGGGAAATGTGAGGTTGTGGGGAGGGGAGCCAGGGAGGATTATAAAGAGGCAGAAGGATAGATTTTATTTTGTGATGATGGCTTTGCAGATGTATACATGTCAAAATTTATCAGATTATACATTTAAAATATGTGCAATGAATTCTCAGTTATACCTCAACGAAGCATGTTTTATGTCAGTATGTACTATATTTCCTTACAATCAGAAAGTTTCTCTTTCACCAACATACATAGTAGATGTACTTAAACACTAAGTACTTAAACTCAACACACAATCTATGCAAGGAACTGAATAAAGGCAAGTTACCTGCTTTTGTTAGGAAATTTCCAGTTTGGTTGAAATGGTTTGAAAAAAATTCCACTAATTTTCTTTAAAAACTTCCCTCCCCTACTCCCACCAAATAAAGGCTGGTGTCATATCTGAAGTGCTCATGCATCTTTCACTCCTTTCAGGAATACCTTGGTATAGCAAAGGAAAGGACACTGGAGCCATTCTTTAAAAACCAAGATTCTGTGAATGAGAGAGACTATGTAAGATTGTCTTATTAAATGATTTGTCAATGGTTAAATATTAATAGTTTTTGAGACAATGAAGTTTGAGTCTGTCACGCTTAACTAGTAGACAGTGTGCCTACATACTGGAGAAACATAAGATTTTCATCATTTCTACAACTCAAAACAAAGGCCAGGAAACAATTTAAAAGCATGTAATGACTTGTATGTGGCTACTGTTAAAAATTTCCCAGTCACGGCTGAATACAACCTACTACAGAGGCGTCAAATGTCTTGTACTGTATGGTTATTTGACAACAAACCAAAAATAATTTATCATCATTCAATAGATTTCAAATCTACGTTTGGATGCTAAAGAAAAGGTTGTGAAACCTCACTGTGGGCAATGGGAGCCACACAGCAAGATGGGGTAGAAATTGGAAATACAGAGGTAGAATGATGGGGATTTAGAGCATATGCAGTCTCAAGGTACTTAGAGTGAGAGTCCCAGAATTGGGATGGGGTTTGAAGGGAGTGAAAAGCCTGGGAAAGGCTCAATAGGGAAGGTGATAGAATTATCAGAGAACAGATGGCAAGCAACAGAGGGGCCCCATGAGGCTGGGTAACTCATATTACTTTTTTCGGTAAATCAGTCCAGGTGAAGTTTTCTCCAGCAACACTGAAAGCCCCAGAATCAGAGGTATAAAATATCCTGACAAAAAATAGGGTTTGGAAGAAAGGCAGAAAGAAAACAAGGGATTGGGCAAACTAGATGCAGCTGATGAAGTCTGCTCCAAGGATAGATTTTTGTTAACAAAAAGAAAAAAATAATAATTTTTGCAAAAAATTACCTAAAATCTTATCTTCCTAACACAAAGCTTTCTTTCATTTTTGTACATTCCCTTCCACTTTTTGTCTGTACCAGAAGAAAACCATGCTTGTTTTAGGTGCTGTGTTGGTGCCTGATTCTCAACTGTCCTGTTGAGATGGCTCTCTAAATTAGGGCCTTATTATTAACTGTACCAGTTTCCCCAGTACCAGTGTGTGCTGATTTAGCAGCTTCATTTCCACTTAGACTGCCAATAAGGATCAACAGTTTTCTCATCTATTTCTATTTGTTTGTGAGATTTTATATCTTTTGCCAAGGTGAAATTTCAATAACGAGTATGGGAAGTTAATGCAAGATCTCTACATCCCTCTTCCATCCAATTCTATTTGATGATTATTAGTGGGTTTCTGTGTTTCCTAATTTTCATGCCCCACATCATTTATCAGTCTGCTATGCTCCACCCCATGCCACCATTTAGCTCACATGTTGCCCTTGATACTTAGTAGTCGCAAACCTAGGATCAAGACCACTTATCAAAGCCGAGACCATACACTTTTAACTTCTTTATGGAGTCTGGCACAGTCCCCTACCCACTTTGGAATCCTCCCTCCACTCCTCCTCTTCTGTACCCGCTTACCACGAAAGAAGTTAGCCTGTGTTCACTTTGCTCCCATTGCATATTTTATCTATTAAACAATGGGTTTCTATTTGGTCCCCCACTTGGGTTTGGGAGCTTCTTGTTTAGTTACAATCACTTATTGAATGTTCGCCATAAGCCAAAAACCATGCAAAATAAGGTATGTGTCTTTCTATCTCCAGAAGATGAATGTTGAATGTACACATGAACACATGAGACTAGCATAGGTGAGAACTAGCCAGATCTAAAATTCTATAAAAAATGTTCACAATTTCAACTCAGCCCTTGACTTGATATTTCTCAATTCCAAAGAGCCACTAACGACAGCAAACCCCTCCAAGATCTTTGTTAAGCACACATGTTCTGGTGAGGGTGGAAATGAGTGTGTTGGACAGCAGGAAGGACGCATTCAGTGATTTCTAAACAGCATGAGGTGAAAGGCCCAAAGGAAAGAGCCAAGAGGCAGCCTCCCCAACTCTTAAGATCATGGTTTGGAAAACCCACTCCCTCACACAGGAAGATGCCACTCTGTTCTTCCATGCCTTTATTGGTGACAGCAATGGACAAGAACAATACCAGGCATAGCAGACACCCTGGCCCAGCACCTGGGGTGGCAAGCAGGCCCTGCAGGGCCATTGGCACATCCAGCCCCAGCCTAAGATCCAGTCTACCCAGGCCATGTCCCCGAATGAGCAGGAGGCCGTCTGTCCAGTTTGTATGTGTGGATCAATCTGTCTGAGTGTCTGGGCCGCTGCCTGCAGGGTTCCCCCATCCTTGGCACATGGTAGGGGCTGCTGGGAACACAGCGTGGCATCCCCCGGTGGACCACTGGGCCCCGGTGCTGCCCATAGGGGATAGGGCCAGAAACTGGAGGTGGCAGGAGGCCAGGCACAAAGTTCACTCCAGGGCCACATCCTACAAAAGAACCAGTCATTTATGAGAGTGGGCTTTTGGCCAAGGTGAGCCCAGCTCTGCCTCTAGGCTGCTCTGGTCCTCCAAAGTGAGCTTCTCTGGGCTTCAGTTTCCCTATCTGCAAAATAGCAATATCACTTCCCTACTTCCAAACCAGGAAACTGTGACAACCACTAAGCTGATTAATGAGTCTATAGATGCTGTTCCAGACTCAGCTGTAACTGAACCCAATCCTGCAGGGACACAAGGGTGATCCAACTCCTCTTAGCCTGCCTGGGCACAGGAGACGAGGCTGGGCAAGGCTGAGGGAGGTGTAAAGGGAGGCTGGGAAAGTGTGACAGGATGCTGCAGAGGCACCTACCTAAGTGGGGTGGCATTGAGAAGTCTTCCGTTGGGTTATAACTGAAGAATTCATGGGGTGGGAAGGGCTGGCCTGGGAAAAAGGGGGCATCCTGGGGCAGGGGTGGGAACAGGGGAGGTGGGGAGGGCTGAGGAAGTGGGTAAGGAAAAGGAATGGGAGGGGGTAAAGGAGAGGGCGGGGGTGGGGGCAAGGCCAGCTGCTCCCCGAAGTCTGGGGGCTGCCCCTGGCTCCCCTGGAACAGATGATTCGGCTCTGGCCAGTCCTCAATCCACGGGTCTAGGAATGGGATGGTTGTTTTAGGTAGGCCGGGGAGGCCAGGCAGTCCTGACCTCTGGCCCTCCACACTTCTAAACCTCTACTCCCTCCTCCAGGAGGGAGCACCCTTTGCTTTCCACGTTTCCTCATTCCCTCTCATTTCAGGCTGAGCCCAAGAAGTGTTCCTCCTTCCTTGCCTTTCTCAAAAGTCAGTGGCTCTGCCTTCATTCTGGTCAGGCTCCCCTCCAGAGTCCTCTCTGTCTGCCGAGCCTCTGTATCTTTAGCTTCTTCCTCTCCCAGCAACTCCCCACAGACCGATAAATAAGCTTAATAAGTCTCTCAGAAACACTCCCTTCACCCAGTAATCCCCTGCTCCTTTCAAACTTTCACAAAGAGTATTGTGTCTGATTTCCACTCCCTCATCAACTGCTCGCTGACTCTTTTATTTATTTATTTTTCACAGACTCTTTTAACCTTACTCCAATCCTTCAACATTTTCCCCACTAAATATAATCACTTCCTCGCAAATTTAACAAACTTCTTTCTTCCCGACAAATCACATGACATGGCCAATGGCCTCCAACCTCCCTGAAAGTACCTCTATCTTCGACTCCTTTTGTTTCCTCCATCAGCCCCTCTTCCCTGTCGACTCCAAAATGTGGCCATTGTTCTGTTCTCTCCTTCACAGTTCACACTCATACCCTTTGCTTCCATCTCTCTGTGGACACCACGGACTCTCAGATCTACTCCACATTTCCACAATACCTCAAATAAATTTGCCCTGACCAAACTTACCAACTCACTCTCCACCCAGCTTCCTTTTGACGTCCCTATTTCTGTAGCTTCAAATTGGATTCAGAAGGCCTGAGCCTCTACAAACTAGTCTTACAAACTCTATGGCATCCCTTCCTTTCTGGGGCTCAGTTCTCTCAACTAAAAAACAAGGAAATTGGACCATTATATAATCAAAGTCCTAATTTACCTCCCTAAAGCTTCGACTCCTGGCTACCAAGTCCCAGAAGTCTGCCTCTATGACCCTCCTGGCCTATCTGTGCCCCCAACCCCTTCAGTGCTGCAATGAACAGCCTTCTTTCTAACATGACTCATGCCTCCAATTCAATGAGCACTATCCTGTAGTACTGTGTACACAGCAATTGTGCTAGATACTGGGGCCAAAGAGATAAGTCGTCAACAAGTGAGGCAGGAACCCTGACATCTGAGGACATGATGCAGGAGAGAAGCGGACTTGGAAACCATCTGCCACGATGTCCCCTTTGTGAGCAGGCAGGAACTGAGAGGCTGACGACACCAGCCGAGGGGCTTCTTTGCTTCTGCCACACTGCCTGGATTGCCTTTCTTCTGTTTATCTTTCCGCCCCCAACTTCTGTACTTAGTTAAAAGTATCCCCATTTCTTTCCTGTTCATTTGTAGGGTAGGGATCTTTTGACATGCTGTCTTATGTGCTCAGTGCTTGTATAAATTCATTTGTATACACAGATATGACTATATAACTAACCATACAGAACCATAACTTGAACTGCAGTGTTGCTCCTGTGATCCCACCCCAGGGGATGAAGGAGCACTCGGGGGCCACAGCAGTCCTTCAAGGGGCCTCTACTTCCCTGGAGTACCTCTGTCTTGTTCCACTTGTGAGACCTATGCTCTGAGGGCCTGATCTGCATCACTACCCTCCCCACTTGTGGTAGGGCTCACCAGGGGGGTAGTTACGCTTAGGCAGTTCCACACCCCAGGCGTCAGCCACATGGGTCAGAAGCAAGTGTGAGATGTGGCGATGGGCATGCTGGTCCCAGTGGATACCATCCCAGTGACGGTGTCGTACTGCATGCCGGAAATGAAAATGAAGGTCCAGGACATCGAAGTAGTGGTCCCCAGCCAAAGTAGCACTGTAGAAGTTCCCTTCAACCACATCCCGCCGCAGAGAGGCTGCCAGGGGCTGGAGCTAAGTGAGAAAGTGCAGCATCTAAGAGCCACAGTATAAAGCAGGGTTAGGAGGAAGGGTTCCCTACCAGCCAGCTGCCCCTCCCCCATCATGAAGAACCCTGGTCACTTGCCTCAGGCAGAAGAAAACCCCCAGTGACGCGCTCCCCCAGGGGCATCGCCATGTTCCACACCAGCAGGCAGGAGTCTGGCAACACCTGGTCCATGCGCATGAACACCCGCTCCAGGTTTTCTCGGTAGCTCTCCATTGAGCAGCGGCCATACCTTTTGGGCAGCAGACAGGGTGGACAAGAGCACAGGGGTGGATGGCCTCTGAGCCATACCTCCACCCCCAACCAGTATTTCTCTCTGCCCCAGCCCCAACCTGGAGAGATCCCAGAGGCAGGAGTTGATGATCACCAGGTCCGGGGCGGGCCCATATGTCAGCTCCTCCAGGATGCCCTCGAGGTACTCAGAATAAACGCGGGTGAGGAAGTAGAAGCGCACAAGATGGTGGCCAGAACCCGAGCAGAACTGGCGGACCTCTCGGTATTGCGTCCCGTTGTGCAGCTCGCCCAGCTGACCCCCAGCCACAAGCTGGTCCTGTTCAAAGCTCAGCTCCCCCTGCAGACCCACCCCCACCCAGATGGTCAGACCCATGCCAGGGAGGAGAACCCTGCCAGGCCAGGGTCTGTGCCCACCCACCATTGCCTAGCATGGCTGCCAAGCTTCCCTCACCTTAGCCTTTAGCTGGGCAGCTGTGAGCAGTGAGTCTTTCTGGAGAAGGAGCACCAGGTCCTTGTACACAGCCCGCTGGACTACAGGGAGACAGAGATCAGGAGGCTGAGGTAAGCCTTATTCCATCCAAGCTCCTCCCAAGTCCAGGTCCCCCATCTTCCCAGGGCTAGGGTTGCCCAACACCATCTATGTGCAGTGTTGACTTTGAGGCAGGTGAAAAGGTGAGGTTAAAACATCCTGGCACTGCCTCTGATGCTTCTAGTTGTGCACCATCCCCCATTTAGTATACAGTGACCCAAGATCACCCGGCAGAAATAAGTCGGCCAAGTTACCTGGGAGACAGACAACAAAACTAACTGCTTCCATGAGGGAAATTATGAGGGGCTGTCAGGGAGAAAAAAAACACTGACCAAGGATAGGGCGAAAAGCTTGACAGGCTATATCTGTCAAGACAGCTCTGGAAGGTGCATGGGTACATAAAATGAGAAAAATCTACTGGACAGGAACAGAGTAGGGGTCAGAAGAGGTCTGAGATGGAGACAAAGGGTTCAGACTTAGAAAACAGGTTGCAGGTGCGAGACCGGGAAGTGTGATCCTAGAAGAGCACTCACTCGAGTCCCCCAAGATGACAACGAACTTGTTGTGTAGCAACTGCTGAACTTCTGAGGCCTGGAAGTGGACCATGGTGCTTCGCAGCGAGCGGCGCTGCTCCTCGTTCTCCAGACAGAAGACCATGTCGCCGCTGACAACGACAGGCTGCAGGGAGAGGCCACTAAGCCGCGCGAGGGTGGGGACTCAGGGCAGGTCAGCCCCAGGGCCCGTCCCGGAATACATAAGACCTATGCCGACCCCTCCAGGAACCAAGAGGCAGAGTGGACCCCATAGTGGCGCTGGCCTCGGTCACACCAGAGGCGGGGTGTGGGAGACGCACAGGCCTCTGTGGCACCTAAGCGCATCCCGCCACGTGCCCGCCACCGCCTCGCGCATGCGCGCGCGCCCGCTCGCATCAATTACCGAGTCGCGGGGTTTCGCACGGTTCACCTGCGAACAGGGCAGGCCCATGCACCGTAAGCCTCGTCCTCAGCGGGCTCTGGACCAAGCCTCATGTTTCCGCGCCCCAGGAAGCTGGTTGGTGCCGCACAGACCCCGCCCCGCTGAGCCCGTGCGACCAGGTTAGCCGTCGGTGCGCAGCCCGGCGCCCAGCGCTCTCCATGCGTGCGTCGCAGTGGCCCCGAGGGCGCCTTGGGCCTCGGTGCCCCGGGCGGCGACGCTCACAGCTCCCACTTCCGGTCACCCATGTCCCGCCCTGCGCTACCCCCCAATGCCCGA